CCAAACACACCGCCCGGGCAACAAAGGAGTGGCTCCGTGTTACAGACGCTGTCTGTTTTGTGGCCACAAGATGGCCTCGGTGCTCCTCCTGATCTCCTGGCTCCAGCTGAGCCAGGTGTCGCACATTATCTGATCAGGGAGCTTCCTTTAAAAGCCAGCTCCCTCTGTCATTCGAGGAGGGAAGCTTAGCAGAGGCCTGAGTGTTAAAGCTGGTGTTCCTCTTTTCCTCCTAGAGCTGACTTATTTAGTCTCGTTGTGCAACCTGTGTGGTTTGGTTATTCTTCCTAGTTCAGAGCTCGCTTTCGTCTTCTTTAGAATTCTCGTTAAAGAGTTCAGCTCACCCTTTTGGTGGAGCTTTTTGTGTTTATTATTACTCGTTAAAGAGTTCAGCTCACCCTTTTGGTGGAGCTTTTTGTGTTTATTATTACTCGTTAAAGAGTTCAGCTCACCCTTCTGGTGGAGCTTTTTGTGTTTAACTCATTCCCTTAGTTTCCCGGTTTAGTCCCGGCGTTTTGTGTTTATTAATATTATTGTTCTTTGCCCAGTCCTGGATGGTCCTTGTGTTTTGTATTATCATTAATTCCCCAGTGTGGACATCCTTTCGGTTTTGTATTCATTTTTCCTTTGCCTGCATAAAGCAGTGTTTTTAGTTAATAAACTCCTCTAAGAGAGTAAATCTTGGTTTGGTCTGGTTTTACACACATTTTTCTTTACGCCCTCAAACCATCATCTCGTAGACGAGCTGGGGGTCGTAAAAGAGTGGGGGCTCGTCCGGGATTATTTGTCATATTGTACATTTATTCCCGGTTTACCATCTTTTTGTGTTTCTGGACTAACCTTGTTTCCTCTCTTGGAGGTGGAGCGGACGTCACCATGGCAACCTTTGACTTGCGGGCTTTTGTGGAGGCTCCCTCGCGCCGGCTGCTGGAGCGTTGCAGAAAAGCCGACCTGCTGGAAGTAGCTGCCCACTTCGATCTGGTTGTCCCGAAATCGCTCCCGAAAGACTCTCTACGGAAGTTCGTTGTGGACTATTTGGAGGCTCACGAGATCCTTCCGCCTCTTCCTGAGACCGGCTCACGCCCTTCATCGCCTCCGGTGGCTCCAGAAAAAGAGGTCAAGCCAAAAGAATCCTCTTCCGGCTCATCGTCACCAGATCTGAGTCCTTCGACTTCTCCACTCAGTGGAGCTCGCCTGAAGCTCCGGCTCGCTCGCCTGCGCATGGAGGCTGATGAACGCGCTCTCGAACGGCGGTTACGCCATGAAATGGATTTAAAAAGACTGGACGCTGAAACTCAGCTTAAGATGCTCGAGATCGAGCTACGCAACAAAAAGTCCGTTCCTGACGCTGCTTGGACTTCTTCTCAAGAACCTGATGACTCGTCTACCTCCCATGCGGGGTTTCGCCCAGATCCAGTGACACCCGCCAGTTCGCCGTTGCAAACGACACCGTTTGATGTCAGCAAATGCATTACGCTGCTGCCCCAGTTCCGGGAGACAGAAGTGGACGGCTACTTCCTTGCCTTTGAGCGGATCGCTGCGACGCTGCAGTGGCCTCGCGAGGTCTGGCCTCTCCTCTTGACTTGCAGGTTAACAGGTAAGGCCCTTCAGGTGGTATCCGCTCTGTCTCCAACAGACGGTACAGATTACGACAAGGTAAAGTCAGCCGTACTCACAGCGTATGAACTAGTTCCTGAAGCCTATAGACAGCGCTTCAGATTCGAGAAACCTAAGTTAAATCAGTCCTATGTTGAGTATGCTCACATGAAGTCTGTGTTGTTTGAGAAATGGTGTTCTGCTTCGCATATTTCCACTTTGTCTGATCTAAAGGAGCTCATTTTAATAGAAGAGTTCAAACGACATCTGCCTGAAAAACTGGTTCTTTATTTGAACGAACAGAAAGTGAATTCTTTCTCTGAAGCTGCTCTCCTCGCCGATGAGTTCTCCCTCACTCACCGGGTCAGAGAGACTCGTACTGACGCGAACCGTGTATTCAGACCCAGTGTAAGATTAACTCCGTCCTCGAATTCTGAAAAACCCGAATGTTTCTACTGCCATAAACGTGGCCACGTCATCCGTGATTGTTATTCTCTGAAACTAAAGAACCGTAGAACCGGAAGTTCTCCAAATAAGGACCGACCTGAAATAGCTTGCTGTAACAAAACTCACGCTGAAAAGCCCAGTCCCTGCTTTAAGCCATTCCTTTCGGAGGGTTTTGTGTCTCTTCCGGGTTCTGAAGCTGAAAATAAAGTTGTTATCTTGAGAGACACAGGAGCTTCCCTGACTTTAATAAAAAGAAGTTTGCTGCCCTTTTCTGAAGATAGCCAAGCCGGCTATTCGGTGATGCTGCAAGGCATCGAGATGGGAGGTGTCTCGGCCGAAATGCACCACATTAAATTGACCTGTCCCTTAGTCTCGGGTGATTTTCTGGTTGGTGTGTTGGACGAACTCCCTACAAAGGGAGTTGATTTAATATTAGGAAATGATGCAGCTGGAGGTTTGGTCGTACCTCTGCCTGAACTCATTTTAGAACCCGAAGTTCATGATGAAGCCCCTCTGCCTGCTTGTGTGCTAACTAGAGCTCAAGCTAAAAAGGATCCGGAGATAACTCTCCGTGACTCTGTGTTGCATCCTTTCCTGGCAGACGACAACTCCGGTGCAGATACCACTGCTGTTATGAAGCCCCAGGTTGCTGTTAACTTCCCAATCAGCTATGATGCTTTGGTCACAGCTCAGAGAATGGACAAACTCCTTGTTTTGCACTCGCTGCTGATAGCTCTACTCCTGTCACTGACATTCCTTTTTCTTAAACCCCAGGCTGTCCCCAGGTTTTACTCTTTCTTAGAAATCTTGTGTTGTGCACCGATCCTGGCTGTTCCTGATCTGTCCCGGCCCTTTAAAATCGAGGTTGACGCCTCTGACGTCGGAGCAGGAGCTGTTCCCCTCCAAGAGGATGCTAACGGACTTGATCATCCCGTCTGCTATTTCTCCAGGAAGTTCAACCAGTCACAACGCAACTACTCTACAATAGAAAAGGAAACTCTGGCTTTAATTTGGTCCCTGCAACATTTTCATGTGTATGTCTGCAGCCATTTCACCACTGTTGTTTTCTCAGATCACAACCCGCTGACCTTCCTCCACCGTATGTTCAACTCAAATCAACGCCTAATGAGATGGGCTCTCCTCCTCCAGGAGTTCAACATCGAGGTCCGCCACAAGAAGGGGACGGACAACTTGATGGCTGACGCGCTATCCCGATGCCACGCAGATTGAGGCTCCCAAGTAGTTTTGTTTTGGTTTAGCTGTAAGGATCTCCCTTTAAGGCTAGTGTTGGTAGCGCAAGCTACCATCTCGGGGACTCTCCGCAGCGCTGAGGATCAGCGCAGCGCGATATTTTTGTGTTTAATCAGCCCGCCTTCAGAGATCCAGGGATTTTAGTTAGTTAGTTAGCTGTTTTGTTTCTAGTTAGTTAGTGGGAGCACTCTTGTTTTTGGTGGCAACAACAAAAATAACTTTTAGTTGTTGTTTTGAGGGGGAGGGTGTTACAGACGCTGTCTGTTTTGTGGCCACAAGATGGCCTCGGTGCTCCTCCTGATCTCCTGGCTCCAGCTGAGCCAGGTGTCGCACATTATCTGATCAGGGAGCTTCCTTTAAAAGCCAGCTCCCTCTGTCATTCGAGGAGGGAAGCTTAGCAGAGGCCTGAGTGTTAAAGCTGGTGTTCCTCTTTTCCTCCTAGAGCTGACTTATTTAGTCTCGTTGTGCAACCTGTGTGGTTTGGTTATTCTTCCTAGTTCAGAGCTCGCTTTCGTCTTCTTTAGAATTCTCGTTAAAGAGTTCAGCTCACCCTTTTGGTGGAGCTTTTTGTGTTTATTATTACTCGTTAAAGAGTTCAGCTCACCCTTTTGGTGGAGCTTTTTGTGTTTATTATTACTCGTTAAAGAGTTCAGCTCACCCTTCTGGTGGAGCTTTTTGTGTTTAACTCATTCCCTTAGTTTCCCGGTTTAGTCCCGGCGTTTTGTGTTTATTAATATTATTGTTCTTTGCCCAGTCCTGGATGGTCCTTGTGTTTTGTATTATCATTAATTCCCCAGTGTGGACATCCTTTCGGTTTTGTATTCATTTTTCCTTTGCCTGCATAAAGCAGTGTTTTTAGTTAATAAACTCCTCTAAGAGAGTAAATCTTGGTTTGGTCTGGTTTTACACACATTTTTCTTTACGCCCTCAAACCATCATCTCCTAGACGAGCTGGGGGTCGTAAAACTCCGTAAGAAGCATTTGAAAGCCCTGGAGTGGCCTAGCCAGTCTCCAGACCTCAACCCCATAGAAAATCTGTGGAGGGAGTTGAAAGTCTGTGTTGCTCAGCAACAGCCCCAAAACATCACTGCTCTCAAGAAGATCTGCATGGAGGAATGGGCCAAAATACCAGCTACTGTGTGTGCAAACCTGGTAAAGACCTATAGTAATCGTTTAACCTCTGTTATTGCCAACAAAGGTTATGTTACAAAGTATTGAGTTGAATTTTTGTTATTGACCAAATAGTTATTTTACACCCTGATTTACAAATAAATTCTTTAAAAATCCTGCCATGTGAATTCATGGATTTTTTTCACATTCTGTCTCTCACAGTTGAAGTGTACCTATGATGAAAATTACTGACCTCTGTCATTATTTTAAGTGGGAGAACTTGCACAATCGGTGGCTGACTAAATACTTTTTTGCCCCACTGTACCTCACTGCTGTCTCACATCACTGCTGTCTCACACATCACTGCTGTCTCTTTCTCCCTATTCAAAACCAGTTGTCACCAGTCTGGGGGTGAAACTTGATGCTGGGCTTAAATTTGATGCTCACATCAACTCTGTAATCGGTCCAGTTTCTTCCACCTGAGACGCCTTGCAAAAATCAAGCCTATGCTGTCGAGAGCCCACCTGGAGCGTGTACTCCATGCTTTTGTAATCTCTAGGCTTGACTACTGCAACTCTCTCTATGCAGGGTTGTGTCAGTCATCACTGCGCCGCCTACAGGTTGTGCAGAACTGTGCAGCCAGGTTCCTGACTGGGACCAGGAAACGGGACCACATCAGTCCGGTTCTGGCCTCCCGGCACTGGCTTCCGGTTTGTTATTGTTCACACTTTAAATTCCTCGTCTTTGTTTACAATTTCTTCCAGGGTGGTGCTCCCCCCTATCTAGCCACACTCCTGAACAGACATTCCCCATCACGTGCTCTGGCCTCTGGCCAAGGCCTGCTCGCTGTCCCTCGTTCTAAGTGTCGTACTCGCGGGGACCGGGCTTTCTCAGTCCTAGCACCGTCTCTCTGGAATCAGATGCCTTCTACCTCTACCTTCAAATCAACCAACAGCACTCAGTCATTCATGCTTTCATTACTTCACGTCTGGATTACGCAAATTCTGTCCTGATTGGGATTAATGCTTCAGCCCTAAGCAAACTGCAGAAGGTTAAAAATGCCGCGGCCAGATTTTTAACCAACACCGACAGACGCATGCACATCACACCCATCCACGCTGATTTACACTGGCTCCCAGTCAAATTTAGGATCAACTTCAAGGTCTTGTTATGTTTACAAGGCTTTGTACTGCCCATCCCCATCCTATCTGACGGACCTGCTGACCCCATATGTTCCCATCCGTGCCCTTCGGTCAGCAGATCATCTGCTGCTTGCTGTTCCGAAGGTTCGGTACAAATCACGGGGGGAGCGTGCCTTCTCTTATGCAGCCCCAAAACTCTGGAACTCTCTGCCCCTCCGTGTGCGTCTGGCTCCCTCTGTTAGCAGTTTCAAGTCGGCCCCGAAAACGCACTTCTTTAGCATTGCCTTCCCTCCGTGACACTTTTCATGACAATCCAGCACCGGATTTGATTTTTTAATTCCATTTTTATGATTTAGTTGCTCACTTTTGACACCTCGCACCATCTGGTAGCTTATTTCATTTTATTTGTGCCATTTCAAATGTTTTTATCATTTGTCGCATTATTTTATTTTATAGTGCTGTTAACTGTTCTCCTATTTTATTGTTTTTAGCAGGAATTTTTATCCCTTACTATTTATGCTTTGTTCTTATGTATTTTGCCTGTTCTTATTGTGTTTCTTGGTCAAGCATTTGGCTTTTTTATGTACAGCACTTTGGTTAGCTGCCATGCTATTTTGAAATGGTGCTTTATAAATAAATATGGTATGGTATGCCACCCTCAGTTAGGCTGTCCTGATCTCTGCCAGTCTTTAAGAGTCACCTAAAAACCCACCTCCTCCGCATGGCGTACCTTGAATGTGTTTGAATTTGGCCCTCTTTTATGTTGATTTTATTTCCCTGTTTTCATTGGTCTCTCTATCCCTTGTTTTACCCATTTGCCTTCTACTAGAATGTTTTACCTTTTTTGTAATGTTTCAATTGCTTTTATTTTCGATTTATTCACCATATTTAACCATCTCATGTACCATGTTCAGCGCCTTGGGCTTCCCGACAGGGTCGCGGAAGGTGCTTTATAAATAAAGCTTTGACTGAGTGTGTGTGTGTGTGTGTGTGTGTGTGTGTGTGTGTGTGTGTGTGTGTGTGGTGTGTGTGTATGTGTAACGCCTTGAGGGGTTGGTACTATCCGAACACAAACCCTTTAAAAACACTGTTTGATGGACTATTGGTAAATGCAATAACCAATCAAGAGGAAGTTGATATGTTATCAATTAAAGCCCAATAAATGAATAACTGTAGGTAAACAACAGGATCTAAAGTGAAATGTGAAACACTGATGTACCGGTCTGCTTCTTTGGATCATCAAAAAGATCTGCTGAACTGATGGAGGAACTTCCTGCAAAACTCTCCAGGCGGGTTTTGGTCTCGTACTGCAGAGAAACAAATGGTAAATGATGTTAAAGACGCGTTCAAAGGTGCAAAGAAAGAGAAACTAATTGTACGAGTTCGAAATTATTTGTGAATCTATTTCTGAAACACTCTTTCCCACCCCCTCTAACACACACACACACACACACACACACACACACACACACACACACACACACACACACACACACACCTATGTTGTGATTCTGTACCTCAGAGTTGTCTTGTCTTCCAAAGTACATATCGGAGGAGATGGCTTTGACCTCTCCAAACTTTTTTCGAGCTTCTCCTGAATCTGAGACTGGCGTTGGTTCAGCTTTTCGTCTGGATACGGGCCTGATGACAGAACATCACCATCAACCAGGAGGCAGCAACAAAAATGACACAAACACTGCGTGCATACTTGTCTTTATATGTTTAAGTGGACAGATTTTGACCTTTAACCTGTGACATGTGGACATTTCCATTTGAACCCCAATGCTTTTAGAGGTATGGTGTACATGAACTTTCAGTTTAGGTTGGGAATAGAACAGAATTGGTCAGAGTATGGGTTAGGCATAGTGGAGTAGGGTTGTCACGGTGTGAAAGTTTAACCTCACGGTTATTGTGACCAAAATTATCACGGTTTTCGGTATTATCGCTGTATTTTTTTAAATGCGTTACATTTTCAGACACCTAAATAAGCCCTGTATATCAGGAAAATATTGTCCTCAGTTTGTGTCTAAATTTTGCCTAAAATGTTTTATTTTGTAATTATGTTGTTTATTTGTTTACATTTTTCCCCTTTAGTCTTTAAAATACCAATATTTGCCCATAACTTCTTATTTTATGTCTGTTTGATGTCGTCATTTAAAAATATTAGATCAGATGATACTCAGTACTCAAGTAGCCTTCTAATCAGATACTTTTTTACCCTTACTTGAGTAATAAACCCTATATCAGGAAAATATTGTCCTCGGTTTGTGTCCTTCCAGTGAGATTTGCAGATGTGGGAAAATGTCATCAGGCAGTAATCATTGTTAAATTCATAATTATTCTCGGAGAGAGACCAACTCTCATCTGCCCCTGGGAGCCCCGTAATGCATAGCGTCATTTCAACATGGGGGTGTCCGCGACACGGTTTATATGCAGGTAGCGGCGCTGCGGCTGCATTATATAGCGACTCGTTGCATTCTCCCTCAACCCAAATCCTCGGATCACGCATTTTAGCAAAAATGCTAACGTTAGCTTGCCTTGCGTTGACTGTAGAGTTGTGGGTGATGGTCACGCAGATGTGTCATGAGATTTGAAGCGTTGCTGCCTTTCACAGACACTTTTTCTGCACGTGCTGCAAACAGGATAGCCGTCTTCTATCAGCTGTCCCTCGGCATTCTTCAAATATCCAAAAGATGCCCATACTTCCCACTTTGTCACTTTATTCACTTACTCAGTAATTTTTGCATATTTTACTGTTGTATCCATCTTCTTGCTGCTTTATTACTTCCTTATTGCCTATTTATTCAAGTTTAGTCTTTCCAACGTCATGCTGCTCTGCTGTTATTTTTTTTAATTGCCCCTCGGGGATAAATAAAGTCTTTCTGATTCTGATTTGTCTTCTTTGAGGGATAAAAAATGTACTGAGTGCTGCCGTCTCCTCCTTTGGCCATTATTTCAGCTTTAGCTTCAAGAAAGTTTTGGTTGTAAACAACAAAGTGCGCATGTGCCGCCGGCAACTTCAGCAGATGATACGATGGCTGGTAAGGGTCACCGCAGCCAAGGTAATCCACCGAGATAATATAGTTTTTAAAAACAAGACGGTTATTATTATTGTCAACTTTTTTTACCGGGGTTTACCGCTACACCGGTTACCGTGACAACCCTATTGTGGAGTCACTAAAATGTCAACAACACAAGGATACATATACAAAGGTATGTGTGTGTGTGTGTGTGTATGTGTATGTGTATGGGTGTGGGTGTGTGGGTGTGTGTGTGTGTGTGTGTGTGTGTGTGTGTGTGTGTGTGTGTGTGTGTGTGTGTGTGTGTGTGTGTGTGTGTGTGTGTGTGTGTGTGTGTGTGTGTGTGTGTGTGAAATAGCAGCAAGTATTGCCTGTCACCCAAAAAATACACACACAAAAAAATAAATAAAACTATCCTACACAATTTCTTTGTGACAACAGGAAGTGAAGCTTTCCAAACAAATATTACAAAAACAAACAATCTCAAACCGGTCATCGAGTGAAGAAATGGCGGAGGATAAGTAGAAGTCCGGCTCTGGTTTCTTGCCATCTCTGATCCAGCCTCCTCCATCACCTACGCCACCTCCACCACCGTCTCCCCACCGTAAAGAGAAATTATCGGTCTGATCCTCAAACCGCGACAGGAGCCTAAAGAACAACAGTTGTTAAAAATAAAAATACTGAAATGTGAAGTCAAGTAAAAACGCTTTGAGAATTTTTAGTCAGCACAGAAAACTGGAACTGGGTATAATTTATGACAATATTCAGACCAATAAGAAACAGCAGCAAACCAATACTTAATAAGTGAGATTTAATACATTACTTAACGGCAGCTGGACTGTGATCACATCCTGAAAACATCTGAGACTTTTACTTTCACTACACTAGAATTAAACTTAAGCCTTTAAAACTAGTCACTGTTACTGGTACTACTACCAGCATGAACATCAAACCTGACTTTGAAGATTCACTAACCATATAGGCAAATAAAAATGTTGTGATTCATATTTAAAGATCAAATGAATAAAACAACAACAGCTTAATAAAACTTGCATTTAATCATTTTTGTCTGACCTAGGGCTGAAGGACCCTTCACCCTCCTCCTCCTCTTCAGGAAATCTCCGTGCTTTTGTGGTTTTGGCTCCGAGTGGACTTTCCTGCTGAATGATGTGCATATCTGAGGTCACCGAGTGAGAAACTCCCCTACAGAGAAGTCACAAAGAGAAAACCCAGAGGAATGGAGAATTAACCCTAAAACAACACCCTTTTGTTTATTTTAGTATTCGACTCCTCGCCTCCATACCCTCGGATCCCCAGACCCATGCCCAGTCGCTCAGCCTGCTCCTTCTTCTTCCCCTCAAGTCCTTTCAGCTTCTGCTCCTCCACTTTTCTCTGCTGCTCCAGATCCTTGTAGGCGAGTCGCATTGATGGAGCCCTGAAGCAGAAGACCCCAGAACAGTCAGAACTAACAATGAAAGCACAGAAATAGGTGATCTAATACTTGATACCCCGACTAAAGATGATTTCTGCAGTTTGTGATTATAAAGATCGGCATGTTTGCAGAAGAGTAAACAGAGTTCTCTCACAAAGACTCCTCAGGTGTCGCGTTTGTTCTGGCTGCTGTCGAGCGCTCTTCTTTCTCTCGGAGTTTGTCAGCAGCCTGAGCTTTCTTCTCCAGCTCTGAGAAGTTTTTACTGCTCACTTTCTGAGCACCCAGACCGCCCTTCTTTGAAGCTAGCTACAGAACACATTAAAACAATTAGTCTAATCTAAGATCACAAATGAGAAACTTTAAATCCACATGACAGGACACAGAGTAAACATCCAAACGTGTTCTTTCTTTTACCGTTTTCTTAGCAGCTGCTGGTTTCTTCTTGAGAAGGGAGGAAGGCTCTGGGGTAAAAATGGAAGAGTACATTTTAAATCCTTCACAGTAATTAAAAAAATAATTTAAACGTGCCAAAAATAAAAAGGTAGTCTTTATCGTAAGGAATGTAAACCGACCTGGGTTTGCTTTAGGAGAAACACTCAGCATTTCCACACTGGGACACTCCTCCACGTTACCTGAGAATAAAGTTCATCTGCTGAGTATTTTAGATCAGATAAAGATTTATAACTTGTTTAGTGTTGACATTATTCATCAGCGACATACAGTACCATTTCTGTCTTCATTTGCTTCCTGGGTCGACGGTTTTTCTGCTGCAGAGGAACTGAGACTCATTTTGGCCATATTCAAGTTTTCTGGAACAGTCTGAGGAATAAAAAAAAACATTAAATTGATTATTAATGTAGGCTGAGATTCATTGTTTGATATTGTTCGTGTCTGGTGAATGTCTCTGGCGGAGTGATACACCCGAGAGAGGGTGCTGTTCGGTCAGTGGAGAGTTGGCGGGGCGGGGGGGGGAACGGTTAATAAAGTTATGGCTGCAGCTCTGATGAAGACGTTTCCCCGTGTCGTTTCTTCGATCTCTCTCTCTCTACCCATGGCCCTCGAGCGGAGTAGCATTCAGCTCACCCAGAGTGTTACATTAAGATAAAATTAAAAAGATATATATATATATATATATATATATATATATATATATATATATATATATATCTATATCTATATCTATATATATATATATATATATATATATATATATCTATATATATATATATATATATATATATATATATATCTATATATATATATCTATATATATATATCTATATATATATATATAGATATATAGATATATATATCTATATATATATCTATATATATCTATCTATATATATATATATATATATATATATATATATATATATATATATAAATGTCCCACTGGAAAAAATAAACCCCACTCACAATTTCATGTCAGCTCTAAAATAAACCCGTAAAATAACCAGTCAACAGCAGCACGTTCCCAGCTTCTAGTTTATGGCAGGGGTGCTGAGTCCTGCAAGGTCTGTATCCAGAATGTTTTAGTTTTTTCCCTGCTCCAACACTCCTGAGTCAGTGGTTGAATCACCATTTCGGCAGGTCTTAAAGCTCTGCAGAAACCTGCAAAACACCTGCTGACTAAAACCAGGTGAGTTGAAGCAAGGAAACAACTAAAACATGCTGGATAGCAGACACCAAGGGACCAGGACACCCCACTTCTGTTGTAGAGGTTTTTCTGCTTCATCGCACCTGAAGTTAATCAGCAGGTGATTCACACGCTTCCTCAGAGCCTGGAGACCTGGGGAGTTTCTCAATGTCAAAGAACCTTGCCTTGATGTCTTGGCTCCGCCCCGGTTGCCTAGGAGATACCTCATCAGGAACCGCCAGGACGTGTTCCAGTGTTCATGTTCTACCGAGGCGTGTGTTCTCCGTTCATTAGCCGTTTAGCTAGCTGAGCGAGGATACACGGGAGGTGTCTTGTAGCCTAGCCTTGGTCAAAAATTACCCAGAATACAGCACGGTATTTTCAAAAGGATGCCAGATCAGAAGCCGGTAGCTACTTTGGGAGTTTAAAAGTAATTCAACTAATTTAAAATGTTTATTTAGATCCAAAGAAGTTAGCTATGGTTGGTTAGTTGCTTAGTAGTTGCAGCCATAGTGGCTAGCGGGTAGTCATGCACTTCCATATTTTATTTAACAAATAAACACAATTTAAAAAGTAAAAGTCTCGTTATATATTTATATATTCATATTGAGACAAATACTAATAAAATATAACATTACCTCGGGGGTCACGTGACGTTACATGACCGCCGTGGAAGCCGTGGTCATGTGATGCAAGTCTGTTTCATGTAACCGTTTTCTTTGACAAAGGAAGGACAGTGTCCTCATAAGCAAGGCGTCTGGCCTCACAAGACATCATGCAAGGCCAGGTGCCTTGACATTGAAAAACACCCCTGCTGAACAGGTGATTTGAGCCCCGAGCAGAGAAACAAGTAAAACATGTTGGATAGGGGATCTCAAAAGACCTCGACAACTAAATGGATCTTTTCGAAAAATAAAAAATTACAAGTCCTGCTTGTCCTTTATTTATTTTAATGCTTTGGGGCTGCGATTGAGCTAAAGGTGCTTGGGAAACGAACAGCACCATGGATGTGTGCAGTACAACATTTAAAGGCACACTAGGCAGTTTTGCTTGCTTTTAGCACCCCCTAGTGTCCATTATTAAATCTGTGGTCAAACCAAAAAAAGAAACCCGTCTCCTGTGTGTGTCTTTTCAACACCTTAACACTGAGACCGTGCATATTTGCGCAAAATCAGGCTCCAGGCCCCCCTGGCTTACTCAATTGTCCTCCTTTTGTTTTGCTGATGAGCCACTAAGCAAGGGTGGAGGTTGGTTCTGCAAGGGCAACATGATTTGCATTTGTAAGACAGGGTAAACCTGGGGGGAGGATTTTTGTATCTGAATGTGTATAAAGGCACATCTCAGGCATCTGGAAACACTTAATCAAGAACTGTGCTGACAGTTTCACTCCAGGACGACACAAGACCATAGATGAACAGCTGTTCCCTACAAAAGTTTGTTGTCATTCACGCAGTATATTGCAACAAAGCCGGGCAAATTTGGGATCAAGTTCTGGGTGGCCAAGTTCCGTTATCCGCTTTCACCGCTCCGTTTCAATCAGGCTGTACAGCAGGATTTCCCCTCGTAGCGATATTTTCCCTAACTCTGATTGCTTCATGCCATAGATCGTTGGAAAGCTGCTTTTATGTACTTTTAGGAACCGTTGGAATTATTTGAATCTGATCAGCCATTCAAAAGTTATAAAACGGAGCATTTTGGATGACAAACTCAGCACGTCTCTGAATCTGTGTTGTGATTCGTTGCGCTCAAGACAGGGAATCCCGGTGGCTACCGTAATGTACTGTATATGCACGAAAAGCCCCAGTTTTAATCTTTTCAGCACTTTTAGAATTTTAATGATATCTTGAATAGTTCAGGAATTATGGTAATGAGAAGTGCGCATGTCCAATCCCGTCTGCGGCCACAGGTTGGTAATAAGATTATTGTGGCATTAACAGAGGGGTTCCGGTTCCGGTTGAGTGAACGCTGGCGCGTCTCGCTGCCGCTGCTCGCTGGCAAACAAACTTTTTGTATTTTTTTTTCTTCTTTTTCACCCTGGTCACATCCCTGTGTCGGTGAAAACTCATTTTCACCTACCTGCTCAGCTTGCGTTCTGGTTGCACATCACCACCTCCCTGCTCCACTCCATAATGTGGTCCAGCAGGATTTCTGTGTGCCTCGCACTGGCCTGGATCATCCTGTCGCTCATTCTTCTGTCCGTGGATGGCCTTCTCCAGTACTCGGCGGCGGAGCTCTTCAACCTCCGCTTTCGCTACTCCGGATCTCCACCACCAGCTCTGTGCCTCTTCCCCGACATCACCTTCCAGCCTCGCCGTCGGTATATCCATCGGGGGTCCCGGCGGAACCTCCATCTCGACGGCTCCAAAGGAATACCCTCCTTCTGGTCCACGACTAGCCGGCGGCTACCCAGGAATACCTGCCGAGCTGCCGACTCCAGCGTGTTAGCCCGGCTGGCTAGTCGGACTAATGCTCCTGTCGCCAGGGACTTCCGCACTGCTAATTTTGGTCTTCTCAACATTCGCTCCCTCTCTGGTAAAGGACATCTCCTCCAAGATACCATCAGTGACCATAAGCTAGACTTTCTTTGTCTGAACGAAACATGGCAACAACCCAGCGATTTCTCACAACTCAATGACTGTACTCCTCCCGGATTTGTTTACCTCTCCAAACCCCGTGGGTCGGGCCGCGGCGGTGGTCTCGCGATACTGTATCGCGAGACTTGGAAGGTCCTTCCCGTAAACCTTCCTCCTCTCACCACTCTGGAATGCCTCGCCTGTCAACTCTCCGGCCCGACCCCCACAATAATTGTCACTGTTTATCGTCCCCCCAAGTTCAGCCCTGAGTTTTTAAATGAACTCTCTGCTCTTTTATCCCATCTGTCCGCCCTTTCCCCAAATGTAATTTTACTTGGTGATTTTAATATTCATATGGACAATATGGCCCTCCCCCTCAGCAAAGACTTCTCCTCATCTTTGGACAGCCTCAGTTTTCATCAATATGCCAATTTTCCCACTCACATTAAAGGTCACACCCTGGATTTAATCTGCTGCTCCGGCCTGACCCCCTCCAACTGTACAGCTGACCCGCTCCCTTTCACGGACCACTTCCTCATCTCCTTTTCTGTTCCCCTCCGTCTCTCCATCATCAAGTCACCACGTATCATTTCTTTTCGTAATATTAAGGACATTGATCTAGCCTCCCTGTCCTCCAGTTTTGCCACCTTGACCCCTAATTTGTCCTCTACTCCCGATGATCTTGTCATTCAGTACAATAACGGTCTGGTTTCTATCCTTAATTCATTTGCTCCCATCAAATCCCGCTCTGTATATTTTACTCGGTCTGCTCCATGGTTCACCCCTGCCCTTCGCTCCTTGAAAGCTACCAACCGGAGGCTTGAAAGACTCTACAAGAAAACCGGTCTCACCATCCATAAAGACTTATATTCTGCTCAGATTTCTCTCTACAAGGACTCCATCTCCCATGCCAAATCTCAGTATTACTCCGGTCTCATCTCGTCCAACTCCAGCAACACTAAAACATTATTTTCCATCATGAACAGCATTTTTCAGCCTCCCGACTCCTTACCCATCCATCTTTACTCTTCAGAAACCTGTAACTCTCTCCTTCAGTTTTTTAATGAGAAGGTCAATAGAATCCATCTCTCTTTACCTCATTCCTCCCCTCCCTCTCCTGATTTATTTGAACCCACCATTCCGTTCTCCTCCTTTGAACTTCCCCATCCCTCAGAAATATTAGATTACATCACCAAATCCAAACCTTCCACCTGTCAACTAGACCCTATTCCAACTGTTTTAGTTAAATCCTGCCTTTCTTCTCTGCTCCCTTTTATAACAGCCATTATTCATTCCTCACTATCCTCTGGTACGGTCCCATCCCTATTCAAATCCGCTTCAGTCAGCCCTATTCTAAAAAAACCTGGTTTAGATCCCAATGATTTCAATAACCTCCGTCCCATTTCCCATCTTCCCTTCATTTCCAAAGTCCTTGAGAAAACTGTTGCATCTCAGCTCCATTCACATCTCACCCGCAATAACCTTTATGAACAGTTTCAGTCTGGCTTCCGTCCCCACCACAGCACAGAAACAGCTCTCATCAAGATCACTAACGACCTACTCATTGCTGCTGATTCTGGTTTAATCTCTATTCTTATTCTCCTCGATCTGAGTGCGGCCTTTGACACCATTTCTCATCCCATCCTCCTTAATAGACTCTATTCCTTAGGCATCACTCACACCCCCCTCCGCTGGTTTCAATCTTACCTTACTGGCCGCACTCAGTTCATCCAGTTAAAATCCTTTACCTCAGAACCCTCCCCAGTCAAGTCAGGTGTGCCCCAGGGCTCTGTCCTGGGGCCCCTCCTCTTCATAGTATATCTCCTCCCTATCGGCAAAATCTTCCGCAAATTCAATATCCAGTTTCACTGCTTTGCAGATGACACCCAGCTCTACATTTCCAGTAAGCCCAACTCAACTCTCCCACCATCCTCCCTTACACTCTGCCTCTCTGAAATCAAATCATGGTTCACCTCTAATTTCCTCAAACTCAACGGCAATAAAACTGAACTTCTTCTAGTTGGCACTAACTCCACCCTCTCAACATCTGACAGCTTTTCTTTAACTATTGACAGTGCCACAGTCTCCCCCTCACCTCATGTCAAGAGTCTGGGTGTCATTCTCGACAGCTCCCTTTCTTTTCAGGCTCACATTAATAACTTAATTCGGTCAGCATACTTCCATCTACGTTCCATAAACCGTCTTCGTCCCTCACTGACCCCTCACACTGCCGCCATTCTCGTCCACAGCCTCGTCACCTCCCGTCTCGACTATTGCAATTCACTTCTTTATGGTCTCCCCAACAAACTCCTTCATAAACTGCAACTGGTCCAGAATTCAGCAGCCCGTATTATCACCAGAACCCCTTCCTTTCACCACATCACGCCGGTTCTCCAGCAGCTCCACTGGCTCCCAGTTAAATTCAGGCCCATCTTCAAAATTCTCCTCCATACCTTCAAAGCAATCCACAACCTCTCTCCTCCATATATCTCAGACCTTATAAGTATTCACACCCCGTCCCGTTCACTCAGATCTTCTTCTTCCATCCATCTTGCGGTTCCTTCTGCCCGTCTCGCTACCATGGGGAGCAGAGCTTTCAGCCGCTCTGCTCCTCGACTCTGGAACTCACTTCCCCCAGACATCAGGAACATCGACAGTTTTACCCTTTTCCAATCAAAACTCAAAACACATATGTTTAAATCTGCCTACAACCTCTGATTTTATTGAAATGTTTCTCTCTGTTTTTTCTTCTTTCGGTTTTATTATTGTTTTATTGTATTTTATTACGTGTTTTGTGTAAAGTGACCTTGGGTGTCCTGAAAGGCGCTTTGAAATAAAATGTATTATTATTATTATTATTATTATTAGGGCTAGGGGGCCCCCTAACACACGGGGGCCCCAGGCGGCCGCCTACCTATGCCTAATGGTAAAACCGCCTCTGGTTTCTGCATGGTAAAAAAAAATTCTATTCATTACATTGATTGGCACACTGAAACTCAGAAACTAGCTTCCCTCAAAACAATCTTCCCACAACTGGCAAATGCAAATGCTGCAATGTGTAATGGTACATTTCAGTTAATGGGCCATCAGCGCAACAAAAGATGAGCTCTGCAGGAGCTCAGGCTTGCAGGAGGAATAAATTTTCCAGTAAATCCAGTGTTAATCTAACAGTTGAAATGTCACCCCAGCCTTCATTAGTGTCTACAGGAGCAGTTCATCACTAAATCAAACAAATTATTTGTGTTCACGATCTAAAACATGCATGAGGGTACGTCAGCTCAAGGAGGCAGCCTGCCAGTCTGAAGAAGGTCTGCAGTTGTAAATGCAGTATTCTGGCCACAATTCATGTAATGGGTCGTTTTAGTACATTCTGGCTAAAAAAAAACCATTTAAAAATATGAAAAAGCAGCCTAGTATGGTTTTCAGAGAATTTGTAGCAAGTTGCAAGTGGAATTTTCCGGCCACAGGGGGCGATGGGGCTGGGCGGCCTTTCGTTAACGCTGTAAAGGGTCATTTTAGCACAAAATGACTCAAGAAAATGATTTAAAAATATGAAACATTTGCATAGTGTCCCTTTAAAAAAATCTAGATAAAAAATGTCCCAATAGTTGTTCCTGCAGAAGCTTCATTTCTAATATATTAGTATGTAAATCATTAAAACTAGCATGTGAGGATGTGCCGTACTGTCCTGTACCTGAGAATGTAGACTGAAGAAATCCACCTGCTTGTCCTCTGGTGATGTTGGAGAAAGAGGAGCCTGACTGTCGAGCCACAGCTGTAATAAACCACAACATTTGGGCTGATTTAAGCGTCTGATTAGAAAGAGCTCAACACAGGAAGCCAAAGTGTGTTTGGTCTAATCTCTAAGCAACATATCTGATGTTACCTCAGTGCCATGGCTTCTGGTAGCTTGTGTTGCTGAAGACCTTATCTTCTCCCTGTACAGCTGGGCAGCCCGGCTGTTGTATTTGGCATTAGCTGCATTGGCATTGCACCCGTGTTGACTGAAAAATGCAATCTTCCACAGAAAATAAAAAAAAGACACAAGAGTTTGTTTAAATATATTGGTGAGCTGTAGCGTAACGGTGGCTGCATCTCCCACTTGCTCTGCGATACTCACGGCACTGGCATTGCCTCCAACCTGCATGCATCTAAGCTGAAACCACGACCAATTAAAATCCAGCTCGGTGGACCTGCACAGTCAGACAGCAAAAGCATTTTAAGTTATCATTCAAGGAAAAGGATTATCCAGCCCATGCTAGCCCAATATGAAAAACTAAATGCACCCCTTGTTCATCTTAGATTAATCACATTATGTACAAAGCCGAGTCCTGTTTCACTAGCCACACCTAGTTCAGATTACTGCCAGACCTGCAAAACTAAGAAATCACTAAAACAGAACCTGCCTGACAATAGGAAGCAGGTTAAAGGTGTACGTCGCTGACCCAAGTGTTTCCCATCTTACTGTGACTAATGAAGGTGATTCACAGCAGTTTAAGAATTTTCACATTCAGAGTGCATGTGCAATTCATTGTGACTGATCGTATTTAAAAAGAACAAGTATTAGTGTTCTTGGTTAACAAGACATTTATAAGAAATGAAAAAGCAATGCATCATGCCCCATTTTAAAGATGCTGTTCACTCGTTTAATGAGTACATTTGCACACCGGTGCACCATCTCCAGGAACTAGCAGTGGCCCACATCACAACTGAGCTTCAGACATTTGATATTTGGACATCTGGCCTCAGATTGGATAACAGCAACCACTGACTTGTAACACGGATGTTTTATCTTCACAAATGATAACATAAGGCTGGGAGAGCTTCTGCCATGTGGTGAAATTGCTAATGCTAACCATTAGCTTCTACAAGCCGAGGCGTTCTCTGCTGTTTCCTGGCTACTAAACCAACAACAGCCTTCCCCGTCACAAGTCCAGATGGGTGAGTCCATAAATGTTCAGTGACAGTCGTGGTTACATGCGCACTGACCAACATCTAAGTCGATCCAGGTCCATTTTATTGTAATAAGCAGGGAGTCTTTATAGTAGGTGGCGACATGCCCCTTTTCATGTCAGCATTCTTCCGGTTAGCTTATTGACCCTTTGCATGTGACGTCACGCCACTCATGTGACCGCCCGCTTCGCCATGATGGACGGCAAAAAGACCGTTTACACCCGTAGAAACTCCAGTGAAGCTAGTCAAAACAAGCCAGTTTGTAGCTTTTGATCGCTTTTATTTAGTTGATGTGACAGTAAAATGGTTTTAGCTTGCTGCGTGGTCGGCTGCACTAACAGACAAGGATGTAAACTCAACTCGTTTTGTTTTTTTAATAACTTTGATGGAGACTGAGGACGGAGATGAACTGCAGCGATCAATCAAGCGCACTAGCAGGCCTCAGATTTGCAGCAAACTTGTTTTTACCGGGTAAAATTAACGTTCATTTATTTCACGAGGAAGACAGGGACAGGGATAAATGTGATGTGTTTATACTAGTTACTGATAATCCTGATGGATGGGTATTTCACCACGGAGGCTGCGCTCTGTCCACTGTCGTGTAAAGCGAGACAATTATTAACAATATTAAAGCTCCGGTGTATGATTACATGTGTTAAAATTACGTTATTTATTTATATGAGCGTCGGCGTTCAGAGATCTTCTCATTCCGGTGTGAGAGCAGCAGCTGAACCCGGTAACACCACCAGCAACAGAAGCTGGTAGGGATCCGGACTTTTTAACAATCAGCTTTGGTGTAAAGTGAAACGCTGTTTATAACATAAAGTTATAAATCCAGAGGGGTGAATTTAGGCAAAGTCAGCAACATGTTTACATCGGTGAACAGCTGCAGAGAGAACGTAAGCTAACGTTGGTAAGCTAGTTAGCATACCGCTCTCTATGAGCCCCGCTAGATGCGCTACTTCTTCTGATAACTGAACTGGGCATGATCTAGTTAAAGGAATGCTGGAGGAGTTTTGTTTTTGTTTTGATCGCAAAAACAATTTCAGGCTCTACTTTTCCCTTTGTTTAGTACTCGTGTCGCTCACTGTTTACATGCTTTTGTCGTCCACCATGGTGGACCCACGTGATTAGGTGATGTCGGTGCAAAGGGTCAATAGGGACACCAGCAGTAAACAGAGGCTGGCGGGAGTGAAGCAGGATTTGCACAATGGCTGAAGGAATGCACAACAACACAGCAACACAGCTTATTTGGCACGTATATTGTCCTGTATTATAGTGTTACGCGTGTTGCTTTGTGATGACGGTCTTCTCAGAAGACCGCTTCCACGATCTCGTCACTACCGGAACACGAGCGTCCTACCGGATTAGTTCTGCTTACCGGTTTACATGCAGAATGTAATTGGATTGCTACCGCATTATCGGAGTGCTTCAGCTCGATTACAACCACCTCGCCTTCAGCCAGACTAACACACAAGTCTTTTTAGAGCAATACTTTGGTTTTCTAAAGCGCATGTAATCGCACAGAGTGTGGCGTAGACCTGTCACAGTTTTCAAATCCTAGAGTTTCAATGTCTATTTTCTATCAGAAGCTAATAGGGGTTGCATGACTTAATTTTTTTTTAAGTCGACAGTCAAGTAATGAAAATTGAGTCGACTTCGTAGGTTCGCTGGAGTTTTTGACAATTAAAATTGCGTCCACATTTTCAAAGTTAAACACATTTCTTTTAACAACGGTAGTTTCTGCTTCAGCCCTCTCCTCCCTCCCCCTGCGCAGCAGCCACAAACTCACTGATGCGCCTGCAGCCTCTCCTGCTGCTCTAAACATTAAAATAATTATTTAATTTTCTATTCCTCACTTCTGATTACCTTCAATGGTGTTTGTTTGTTGCAACCACCAGGTACAAAAACAAACTTGTTTTTATTTTACTATTTTTCTGTCCTGTCTGTTTATTATCTTCCTGCATCTCCTCTCAGTCCTAAAGAAAAACTGCTAACTGGGTTCATATATATTCACCTTATGAGTTACCTTTGAACTGCAGTTCTAAAAGATCTACCGACCGCAAAAACAGCGGAGTGCTCGCCGGCCGACTACAACGGGACCATTTTTGCTGCGGAGTTCGTGCCGGAGCGGAGATAGTGGGATTTTGGGGGTGGGTCACCGGAGGACAAAACAGGTGAAGAGTCTCGCTCCGCAGCAGCGAAACGCATCAGGCACAAATAACAGACAGAAAACATTAAAGGAAATGAGCCGACATGAAGGATTGCGTGTTTAATTTGTTTTTGAGGTGGTGACACCTGATTTGGTGGTGCTCAGGACGCAGATGTCTGGAGCAGCGCGTCAACGATCAGAGCTTTGCATGTGCAAACTGGTTAAGATTAGGATGGGGGTGAGGGGAAGGTAAAATTGCAAGAGGGAAAAGGTCACAGTTTGGTTAAATGTCCGTTTTACCCCCGGTGTCAGTACCGACGCTCTGGCACAGCGCGTCGCCTCCGCCTCCCAACGCGCAGGGGCTCGTCACCTGCTGTCTTTTCCGAGGACTGCATCTTGTCAGTCATTATCACGTGACAACAACGATGATGGTAATATAAAATAATTTAGTGCTTAGCGATGCCTCAAAACACCTCCACAGTGATGTGAGGGACTCGTTTACAAGTATCACAAATGCTGCATTGCAGTTTTTTGTCACTTTTCCACATGGTGTCAAGTTGGTTTATCACTTTTATTTGAGATATTTTTTAATGGCCATTTGAAATAGTTTCTAAATTTCTGCTGCACATTTCTAAATCTACCCAGATGTTCAGTTGAAATTAAGTAAAACAGTTCCTCTTTGTTACTTATAACTAAAAGCATTTGAGCTCTTTCGCAGCTCACCTGATGAAGGACAGGTGTACCCCCAAAGACCTGTGGGTGCCAGAGCAGTCTATGCAGAGGAACACACCATATGTGATGCTGGCCCAGCTGGGGTTTTTGGCTGCGCAGTCAAAGCAAACCTAAAGGTCCAAAGAGCAAAAGACAACATGCAGGAATAAAACCTTATCTGGTTTTATAATTTTAATCAATAAAAAACGTGGAAGGCAACCTTGTGCACCAGGTGAAGCATCAGCTGTGAGTCTGAAGTACACGCTGGATGACAGCTGCTTCAAACAGCTGTTAACGAACTAGTACCATAGAGAGCTGTAAAAGACTACATACGGTCTCCACTGACGTTTATAATAATTAAGATTAGAATAAAAGCCTTAAAATATGCCTAAACAAACATGGCTGTTGCAATTTGTCATAATAAACTACCAGACGTTGTTTTCCCCCCTCAAACCTAGCCGTGGCGTCGTTCAGACGCTTAGCAGAGACAATTCCCACAAGCCAGACTTATTATCGACATTCCAAAGCAAGAATGTTAGCTGAATTTTTAGCTGAAAGTCAGGCCAAAAGCTGCGTTTCTCGAAGTGCGACGTGTCAAATGTTTGCTTCAGCTGACTTCCTCGTCAGACACGTCCGCCGTCTGTCGTTATTAAAACTCACCTTATTGGAGGGAATGGAGCGCAGCCGCTTGAAAATGGCAGAAATGTCTTGTTTACTGGGTTCTGCCATTGTTCTGCCTGTCTGGAAGGAACCTGTCTGTAGGAACAGCACAAAGTAGCTATGTGTTTACTCCAATAACAATCGAATGCGACACGTCAGTAGGACAACGTCGCAGACTTCACTCTGATTGGCTGGAAACGGCCCGTGGTCGTGTTGTTGTTGAAAGGGTTTCTGGGTAATGTAGTTTACCTTGAAAGAAGTCGCTGCAGGGCAGAAAATCGTTTTCTGAACACAACTTCTGATTAATAACATAAAATATAACTTAAATGAACATTTATCCATATTTATAATAAATTTCTCATATTTCTATATATTGTCATTTTTCTTTCCTTCATCAAAAAGGTAGGGAAGGGTTTATAAGGGTTCTCATGAGAAACATTTCATCTTAAAAAGTGAAGGTCTTAACTCCTATTGTATTTCAGCAAATACAGCGAGTTTGAGTCATGTAAATCTGCATATAAAACAATTTATAGGTAAAAATTTGACCAAAAAAAGGCTAATTCTGTTTTTTACAGGAAAAACTGTAATTACTCCATTAAATCAAACTTTGGCTGAAAGACAATTCCCAAAACACTTTACTCAAATGTGTGTTTGCACATGTGTGGACAATGACTTCAAAACCCCAATGAATAAAATATACAGATATAAAATTTACACCAGTAGCTTAGAGTCCATATGTGATTAGCCTAAATAGAAAATACCATCCATAAGAATCTATTCCAAGACAGGGTATGCAGGAGCTAGGACGTACAATTAGACATATTTACCTCAATACCAATTGGATGAACACAAGACGGGCCGCTGCAACCAAAACATGTATAATCTACCCCAGCAGACTATTCATCTCATTCTGAACTTTCATTAAACTTGAGCTCTATTCTGTATGGAAGCCCATTCCCACCACTATAATAACTAGAAAAATTGCATTTATTGCACAAATGCTGTTTGAATGCTGGATAGCTGAAACTGTAAGCTGAAGCTGCTGAACAGCTTAACTGAAGCTGAAACAAAGCAAAACTGTCAAAATTAGCTGAATGTCTTGAAAGATGTAGAAGCAAAAAGCACCAACAAGCAAATAAAGCACAAAAAGTAAAGTGAAGAATAGAGAAAAATAATGCTAAATAGAAAAAAAAACTAAAATCTGTGAACATTGTATAAAAATCTGGACAGCTTAAATGTCTAAACACCTGTTATTTCAGTTTGCCAAGTTTAACAGTTTAATCTTTACATTTAGCTGAACTGTGAAATTAGCAGTATATGCTAAATTTGGTAACTGATTGCTGAAGTTGTTGAGTAGCTGAAGTAAGCTGAAACTAAGCTAAACTGTCCAATGAGCTGAATGTAGTGAAAGATGTGAAAGCAAAAAGCATCAAGAAGCAAAAAAAAAGCACAAAAAGTAAGTGAAGAATCAAGAAAACTAATCCTAAATAGCAGAAAACTCAAATCTGTGAACACTGTTTGAAAAAAATTGGACAGCTAAAATGTCTAAACACCTGTTATTTCAGTAGGACTAGTTTAACAGTTTAATTTTTACATTTAGCTGAACTGTGAAATTAGCATCATATGCTGAATTCAGAAACTAATTGCTGAAGCTGAAACTAAGCAAAACTGTTAAAATGAGCTGAATGTTTCGAAAGATTTAGAAGCAAAAAGCACCAAAATGTAAATAAAGCACAAAAAGTGAAGAACGGAGAAAGCAATCCTAAACCTCAGAAAACTGAAATCTGAACATTATTTAAAAATCTGGACAGCAAAAAGGTCTAAACACTTGTTGTTTGAGTAGGACTAGTTTAACAGTTTAATTTTTATATTTAGTTGAACTGTGAAATGAGTAGCATAAGCCGAATTCAGAAACGGATTGCTGAAGTTGTTGAATAGCTGAAGTAAGCTGAAACTAAGCTAAACTGTCAAATGAGCTGAATGTAGTGAAAGATGTGAAAGCAAAAAGCACAAAGAAGCAAAAAAAGCACAAAAAGTAAGTGAAGAATCAAGAAAACTACTCCTAAATAGCAGAAAACTCAAATCTGCGAACACTGTTTTAAAAAATTGGATGGCTAAAATGTCTAAGCACCTGTTATTTCAGTAGGACTAGTTTAACAATTTAATTTTTACATTCAGCTGAACTGTGAAATTGGCATCATATGCTGAATTCAGAAACTAATTGCTGAAGCTGAAACTAAGCAAAACGGTTAAAATGAGCTGAATGTTTTGAAAGATTTAGAAGCAAAAAGCACCAAAATGTAAATAAAGCACAAAAAGTGAAGAACGGAGAAAGCAATCCTAAACAGCCAAAAACTGAAATCTGAACATTATTTAAAAATCTGGACAGCAAAAATGTCTAAACACTTTTTGTTTGAGTAGGACTAGTTTAACAGTTTAATTTTTATATTTAGTTGAACTGTGAAATGAAATGAATTCAGCTTATGCTATAGCATAAGCTGAATTCAGAAACGGATTGCTGAAGCTGCTGAATAGCTGAAGTGAAGCTGAAACTAAGCTAAACTGTCAAAATGAGCTTAATGTATTTAAAGATTTAGAAACAAAAATCACCAACAATTGTAATAAAGCTCAGAATATAGGTGAAGAATGGATAAAAAAATGTTAAACAGCAGAATCTTTTAACATTTATTAAAAACTAGAAATTTGAAATGTTAAACAGCTGGCATTTGAATGAGAATAGTTTAACGGGTACATTTTTACAATTGGCTGAACTGTGAATTTAGAAATATTTGCTGAAATCTGAAACTGATAGATTAACATATGTTCAGATTTGATATGGGATGGATGAATGGTTGGATGAATGAAATAACGGATGGATTGTTGGATGGATGTTAGATGGTTGGATGGATGGATGGACTGGATGGATGGATTTATATGTAGATGGATGGATTCCTTAGGCCAAGCTGATCGATTTGATGTCTCACATGCGTGGGTGTGTAATTCCATTTAGCCAGAAGATGATTGACCTCTCTCAACCAATCAGGGAGCTGGGAGGGAGTGGGGCACTATCCCACCTTGTGATGGTCAATCAAATTGAACTTATTTCTAGTTTTAAGTACAAACAGTTCAAAAAGATCAAAAACAGCAGTCTGTTAATGGCTCAATATTCTGCTTCTTATATTCATTCCTATGAGACTTGGTTAAAGTAATTTGTAGTTCCTTGTGTTGCCATGGTAACAGATGACAGGAGTCTGCATTAATAAAGCTATGTACAATAACACATGACTCATTTAAACTTTGAATAACATTTCTATATTAAAGTATGTTGATACAGTTGTGTCTAAAATGTTGTTAAACGCTGTTGCTAAGCACGTTGCCATGGTAACGCAGAACACAATATCAAGTTAATACAAGACTCCTGGGACCAAGCAGGTTGAATTGATGTACCATATGTGTGGGTGCACATTTCCTTTTAGGCAGAAGACGGTTGAAAACTCTCAGCCAATGAGAGAGCAGCGAAGGAGGAGGGGGTGGTTCCTGCCTTCTGACTAGTGTTAAAATGTCAGCTATGCTGCTAGTTTTAAGTGTATAGAGCTGGTTGGTTGGTTGGTTGGATGGATGGATGGTTGGTTGGTTGGTTGGTTGGTTGGATGGATGGATGGATTCCTTAGGCCTAGCCGATCGATTTGATGTCTCACATGTGTGGGTGTGTAATTCCATTTAGCCAGAAGATGATTGACCTCTCTCAACCAATCAGGGAGCTGGGAGGGAGTGGGGCACTTTCCCACCTTCTGACGGTCAATCAAATTGAACTTGTTTCTAGTTTTAAGTACAGATAGTTCAAAAAGATCAAAAACAGGAGTCTGTTATTGGCTCAATATTCGGCTTTTTAATATTCATTCCTATGAGACTTGGTTAAAGTGGTATGTAGTTCCTTGTGTTGCTATGGTAACATATAACGCATTTAAACTTGAATACAAGATTCCTGAGACCAAACTGGTCGATTGATGTGTAATATCTATGGGTGCTTGATCCTGATTGGACAGAAAATGGTGGAACACTCTCAACCAATCAGAGAGCAGCACTGCCTTTCCCCCAGCTATTTTTAGGCCTGCAGCTGTACCCCTGTTAATGAGAGAAGCCTTTAAATCTGTCCTTCAGAAGTGAAATTGGATCTGTCCAACTTCTCGTCACCATTCGAAAAGTACTGCACCGAATTGAAAAATTTAAAAAGCATGAGCGGCAGAAGGCTTTGATGATAATCTGTGTGTATTTTTATGTGCCTACCATGAATTGTGTAGAAGCTATGACGAGAAACTTTTAGTGGTCTGAAGCCGATCAGAGGAGAAAATCTGTTCTTTTAACATGGGTTTCAATGAGGGAAAATCTGGGTCTCTCCTCTTTCTGAGGCTTGTAGCGAAAGAACGGTAGCACTTACAGAGAAAATGAAACCCATTCTGAAAAGCTGACAACAATTCCTAGTTTTTGAGATATAATTTCTTTTGGTAGTCCAAACGGTCTGGGGGTAGTAAAGAGTTGTTCACAGAAGATGTGAAGTTCAAAAGTTAGAGTGCGAAATTCTCAATTTAGAGTGGGGAGAGACATTTTGTTAAATTTGAATTTTCTCAAACAAATGAACCGTACGACCACAATGTTTGGAGTACAGTCATGAATTATAGCTCAAAATGAAGGTATATTCGTTAGCTGTAAGCCAGCTTGTGTCTCATTTAAATCGGACCTACGGTTCTCTCGGGACAACGCCAGAAATGGAGCAGGGGAGGGTCACTGCTCCTATCTTTCCCCATTATAACTTTTGTGAATTGTTCTTAAAATTTCAAGTCGTACCTCAACTTCTACCTGCGATTTTAGAAAAACCGTAAAAGATATCAAAAAGTCTCTTTAATATGTTAAACAGGAAAGTCTTGTGAGTTTGTTAAACTTTGAATGAAGTCTCTAAGTTAAAAGGAACCCAATAGAGTTTTAGGTCAAAAAAGTGATAGGAATTTGCTGAAAATTGACCAATTCCATTCATTTCAATGGGAAATTTTTCGCAGAAAAAGCTTAATAACTCGAAAATTTTTAAAGATATCAATGCCAAAAGTAATAGCCGGAAAGAGCTTAACGAGCTGAACGTTTTGATATAAAATTGTTGAAATAGCTCAAAATTTGAAGGAGAAGA